ATATGTAATTTATCAATTAATTGATTGATTACGTATACATCTATTAATAATATTGAATTTAGAATCAGCTTAAATTGCTTTTAAATTTCATAACAACTTCGACTAAATTTGGAATTCTGATTCAATATAAGTAGATTCTAAATCTACTATAATTCCATTACGACGTACGACATATACATTATATATATTTCAATCGGAAGTTTTTCTTTTATGAGCATATTATTATATTTATAAGGGTTCAAAATTACGTTACGTAACTATTTCCTTATGATTAGTAATATATATTTAATTTAGTTCAAAAATTGTATAAGCTAGGGTTGTATCATCTCAAGAGCACTCCGATTTAAACTCAAACCAAACTAGTGTGCTGCTGAACTGGTGACAAAATTGGTTTGGATCGAAACTAATTTCAAACCATTGACTAATGAAATCAGATTAAAATGAAATTTTGCATAACGATAACACAAAATAGACAAGTCACAAAGTTTTGAGGTGTATTTTCTTAGCCGTTTTTTAGGGTTAGGGGTCAGCTTTAGGGGTAGAATTTATAGTAAACAAGTATAAGTGGTTTTAGGAGAATAAATAAAGCCCCAAATTTTATTTTAATCATTATGATTCGCGACATTAACTAATAGCGAGATAGGGCATAAAGATAAAAATTATACTAAAAAATTATTAACAAATGTTATTGTAGTAAATCATGGAAATTCAGAGTTGGAATTCTGCCCTCACTAATTTATTATAAATATCTATTCAATTTTTTTTTTTTTTTTTTTAATTTTGACCCTATGGTCAAGGTGGCATCTTGTCTATTAATACTGTGATTGTATATGAGTTCTAAGGAACTACTAGTTTACAAATTATATTTCAATATAAAAACACAGACGACAATAAGCTAGAATGCAGTATACGTATAGAGATTTAACTTTTTATTATAAAAATATATGTATTAATATAAAAAGTTTAAGGGAAAAAATGTACTATATATATATTTGCTGACATTAAGTGAAATGTAATACCAATCATAAAATCACCAATATATTTTTATTGCTTATACGTAGGAAAAATATAAAACAGAAGATCCTTTGACCTTGTTAATGATGTGTGTGAAGAATCAACGTTTAGTTCAGCAGAAACGGTATTGACATCTTCTCACGACTGCTATCTGAAGGAGGAGAAAGAGCTGGTTGTTGCTGGTTATCCCCAAATTGATGATGGTCCAATTGTTGATAACTTCCAAATGGAGCAAAGTCCGGTTGTTGATTTTGTGACCTAATAATAAAAGTTGACATTTTAATTCAAAATATACTTTTTTAAGTTGAAACGGAATTATTCGAGAAATTATAAGCACAATTTCCAAAATCGACGAAATATTTTGGATTGTCCCTTATATGCACAAATTAATTATAAGTACCGAAGTTGATTCACTAAAAAAATTATTTTAGTATTATCGTTATTACAGTATAAATTAAGGAACATGTGTCACGTGACGAGTCAGGGAAGAAAAAACATACTCCGTTTGCGTTGAAGATTGTTCCAGTGATTACGCACCATAATAGGACTGAAGCCAGGGAAAAATGAAGCGATAAGTTTCCACTGACGACCATATTGCCTAAACAATTCCTGAATTCTTTTGGATTCGGATGATGTAATTCTGCGTCTGTTTACTAAAATAAAAGATTTATTGATTAATTAAGTATCCGTTAAAAAGAGAAAAACATGAAAATTTGAAATTAATATATACTTGCGGGATTCTGGTGATTAAGGTAACTAAAAAAAAAAAAATACAGAATTAAAAATGTAGGTTTTTTAAAGTGTATAAATAAATGATTTATTTGCTAAACGCATTTACATAATTAATAATTTACAAAAAACATCACTTACTGTTCCCGAATCTGACGCTGATCGCGCGTTTGCTGCATAAGTATTGCGATTAGCCTCCAGTTGTAACCATAGGTCTGAACCAATGTTTCAAGAAGCTGCTTTTCCTATAAATTGATATTGAGCAATTAATCTTATATTGTTATTGTGTGAAACAATTAATCTTATATTATTATTGTGTGAAGAATTGAGTAACTTTAATTACTTGGTCAGTCCAACGACCGCTTCTTCGTTGCGGGAACATAGAATTTTTATAATTCAAAGTTTACAATTACAAGGATGAAAGAAAATCTAATAAAACTAAGCTTTAATTTAGGTCAAGCAAATATACGATAACATTAAAACAACGTTTATTATCATCTTTGAGAAAATATTCACAAAAAAATTAAGAAAAAAAAAGTAAAGGAATAAAATTTTAAAAGTTCTCCGGAGTTAAATATTTCAAATTTCTATCATGTGAAAATATGCCCCAAAATTGTTGTTTTATAAAACGAGTACCAATTTTTGGGTATCATTAATGGAAACTTATGAATGAAATTAGACTTTTTTTGAAATTATTGAACTTTTTTTTTTTGCATATTTGTAACGAATAACCGGCATGCAGCCGCAACCTTGATCCAAGAAAGATTAATCCAACGTTCATCCATTCCCATGTAACATGTGAAAAGCAATAACGATAATTAAAATCGATCGTACCAATCTGTCTTTGTACCACGATCAAACATTTTCTCTTTATTAAGAAAAAAAAAATAATAATAATTTTCGTAATTAAAAAAAAATTGATGGATTTTTAATTTTTATTTTGAAGATAGAATATTATTAAATCCTTACCTCGATTACTTCGATCTCACCTTATAAACGACCGTATTATCAGCTTACAACACTTAGAATTTATCGTAATTCGAAACTCCACACATTTTCACACTTCTATTCGTGACACATCTTTTTATTCATCTGAATTTTCCATAGTATATTCTCATTGACAAAAGAACAATAAATCCTCACTTAATGTATAAAAATGATGCTGCAAGAAAAGATTAGAAATTCGAACCAGCATTAACGCGTCAAACCAGTTTAAACAGTTTAAATTGAAAACTTTAAACTAGATCAAATACAATTATAAAGTACGTACGTAAGTAAATTCTTTTCCATTAATTGAGTCCTATGTTTTTTTGTTAAAGTACGTACGTATAAGAGATTAAACATACGTATAAGCATAATTGTTAATCCCGGATGCTTAATTGAGAAAACGCCATATTGTCTAATTAGTATGTATATAGGTTTAAGGAGAGGCATTAACACTAGCTCTGCTTCATTCATTCATTCATTTTTTTTTTTTTTTGATTTGGTTTTGTGTATTAGCCTTTCGATATTTCCATTCTAGAATTTTAAGAATTATAGATCAAATTGACACGAAAATTTTTAAAAAAAAAAATTCTTACATCTCACCTGATCGGATTAACTTGCGGAAAATTTTAATAAAATAAAGTTAAATTACTATATAAAAAAAGCAAACAAATCAATTAATAATAGGGAGTAAAATGAATAACAATACAATGAATGAACTTTTTTTAAAGGTTGCTTTTATATTTTTATATTTTTATATTGATACGTAAAATGGATCTCCGCATCTTTTCACAATACGGATACATGCTAATTTATTTCCTTTTGATATGTTTGCACAAAATAATCTACCGATCCTCAATAGATTGACTAAATTAACTATTATTTACAACTTTTTTATCTTTATTATTATTATTATTATTTTAACTAAAAATTTACCTGCGCTGTATATCGTAGAGACTTGATTCAGAAAATGATCTAAATAACATGTGAGATATATAGATAACTTGAAGCTTTCGAACGCGCATTACGTATATGCTTTTTGTATCACTAAATCAGGGTCGTATTAGGCACGTGTTGATATATAGATTGGCGTTTCAAACAAGCGCCTTGGGCTGTTAATGTTTAATCTAATGCATTATAAATCATTGTCTTATGAGTACACATACACAAAGCCGAATATACAGTAAATGTGATTATGTTAACTAAAATTAGTCTGATGTGGATAATGTAACCCACATGTTCCGCCATATGACCGATTTCAGTCCCTTGAAAACATGTCCTGTTCAAAGAACTTTTGCATTATGACTATTATGACAGATCACGTCAAAGCACAAAATTTCATTATCGTTAAACAATGTAAACAATGTAAAAATGATGATTTCTATTATAGTAAACCAAAGTTAATTACAGAAAATTCCGTGTTTCCTATGGCTATTCTCAGCTCACTTGGCTTTATAAATCAACTCCTTTATCGATTATATCATGAAGTTTAGTTAACAATTTCTGTCTCGGGTTGATGCTATGCTATAGTCACGTGAAATTGATATTATTTAGTTAGTTAAATAAGGCATTTTATTTATGCAGCATTTTGTACCGATACCGACTACGACTAAACATATAAGGTTAATGCACAATTACGTACAGGTTTATTTTTTGATTATATATTCGTATTACGTATTAAAAAAATTGGCAATTTTTTATTACGGTACGTACGTATACTACGACGTACGTACGTACGTACATACAGTCGATACTGTCTAAATGCTTATTGTCAGGAAAGACAAAAAAATTAATTTTATGCATTTATACAGTATTAACCAATCAGATATCAGACAATTAACTGTCTAAATGCATATCACTATTAATTTTTTTTACGTATCAATTATGCATTTAGACAGTATCGACTGTATATGTATAATATATAAATACTATAAAGTTATTGCTGTATTTTATGGACTATGATGATTGCTGATAATCCACCCGGTACCGCTGGGTTACCGAACGATCAGAAGAGAACATAAAAATACAGCAGTTGATGCATATGGGAACATGCAATAACGGTTTTATTCAATGATTTATTATCTCGGTTTATGAAATAAAAAATTATTTACGTATAATATAGTACGTACTTAAAATTTTACTTAATTTTTAAAATTTTAACAAAAAAGATTGGTTTACAAAATTTTAAATTACTAATTTAACTTATAATTCACTGAATATTCGAATTAAATTCTCTAATATTCTTGCATAAGTATCACGTGAAAATGGATGTTATATATCTGTATATGCAAGGTAGCCGTATACGTATCCGGATTACTTAAAATAAAATTTGTTACAAAAATTGAACTGTCGATACGTATCCAGATCGCATCTCTATTAGTATTATCCGGGTCCTAATGCCCCCCAATTTATGCAATTATGCAATGTCAATTGTACTTTTTTTTTTTCATCCATTCGTTTGTATTTGTTATTCATATTTTGACAAAAAAATAAAAGCTAGTCTATGCTGATAATACAAGTAAAAATGAAAACACGATAAACAAAGATAAGAACTCGTTCTCGTTATAGTTAAGTCCTCAAAATTTCATAGTTATTTTGAAAATTCTAATAATCAATACCTCGACCTGAGAAAAAAATCATCACTATAACCTGTATCGAAAAAAAAGTTTTCTTTCGAATCATAACTTTTTATACCGAACTAATAAAAATTTAAAAATTTTTATTACATTATATTCAGAGTTCATTATAGAGACACTCATTATAAAGAGAATTGACTCTATATTTAGTTTAATAATTCCATAGTTCAAAATTCTTTACTATCGAATCTTTATTATCGAATCTTTACTATCGAATCTTTACTATCGAATCTTTACTATCGAATCTTTATTATCGAGAGGTTGATTCTTCCCGTTATTTAATTGTGAATACACTGTATTTTAAAATTTTACAATTATTTTATTTGTATTAATTTGTTCATGAATGAGATTTATTTATAAATCCATCTACACCAAAGTTTTCTATAACGACCTTTTTTATAATAATCCCTGCATATAATGAACTCTGAATATAATGTAATAAAAATTTTTAAATTTTTATTAGTTCGGTATAAAAAGTTATGATTCGAAAGAAAACTTTTTTTTCGATACAGGTTATAGTGATGATTTTTTTCTCAGGTCGAGGTATTGATTATTAGAATTTTCAAAATAACTATGAAATTTTGAGGACTTAACTATAACGAGAACGAGTTCTTATCTTTGTTTATCGTGTTTTCATTTTTACTTGTATTATCAGCATAGACTAGCTTTTATTTTTTTGTCAAAATATGAATAACAAATACAAACGAATGGATGAAAAAAAAAAAGTACAATTGACATTGCATAATTGCATAAATTGGGGGGCATTAGGACCCGGATAATACTAATAGAGATGCGATCTGGATACGTATCGACAGTTCAATTTTTGTAACAAATTTTATTTTAAGTAATCCGGATACGTATACGGCTACCTTGCATATACAGATATATAACATCCATTTTCACGTGATACTTATGCAAGAATATTAGAGAATTTAATTCGAATATTCAGTGAATTATAAGTTAAATTAGTAATTTAAAATTTTGTAAACCAATCTTTTTTGTTAAAATTTTAAAAATTAAGTAAAATTTTAAGTACGTACTATATTATACGTAAATAATTTTTTATTTCATAAACCGAGATAATAAATCATTGAATAAAACCGTTATTGCATGTTCCCATATGCATCAACTGCTGTATTTTTATGTTCTCTTCTGATCGTTCGGTAACCCAGCGGTACCGGGTGGATTATCAGCAATCATCATAGTCCATAAAATACAGCAATAACTTTATAGTATTTATATATTATACATATACAGTCGATACTGTCTAAATGCATAATTGATACGTAAAAAAAATTAATAGTGATATGCATTTAGACAGTTAATTGTCTGATATCTGATTGGTTAATACTGTATAAATGCATAAAATTAATTTTTTTGTCTTTCCTGACAATAAGCATTTAGACAGTATCGACTGTATGTACGTACGTACGTACGTCGTAGTATACGTACGTACCGTAATAAAAAATTGCCAATTTTTTTAATACGTAATACGAATATATAATCAAAAAATAAACCTGTACGTAATTGTGCATTAACCTTATATGTTTAGTCGTAGTCGGTATCGGTACAAAATGCTGCATAAATAAAATGCCTTATTTAACTAACTAAATAATATCAATTTCACGTGACTATAGCATAGCATCAACCCGAGACAGAAATTGTTAACTAAACTTCATGATATAATCGATAAAGGAGTTGATTTATAAAGCCAAGTGAGCTGAGAATAGCCATAGGAAACACGGAATTTTCTGTAATTAACTTTGGTTTACTATAATAGAAATCATCATTTTTACATTGTTTACATTGTTTAACGATAATGAAATTTTGTGCTTTGACGTGATCTGTCATAATAGTCATAATGCAAAAGTTCTTTGAACAGGACATGTTTTCAAGGGACTGAAATCGGTCATATGGCGGAACATGTGGGTTACATTATCCACATCAGACTAATTTTAGTTAACATAATCACATTTACTGTATATTCGGCTTTGTGTATGTGTACTCATAAGACAATGATTTATAATGCATTAGATTAAACATTAACAGCCCAAGGCGCTTGTTTGAAACGCCAATCTATATATCAACACGTGCCTAATACGACCCTGATTTAGTGATACAAAAAGCATATACGTAATGCGCGTTCGAAAGCTTCAAGTTATCTATATATCTCACATGTTATTTAGATCATTTTCTGAATCAAGTCTCTACGATATACAGCGCAGGTAAATTTTTAGTTAAAATAATAATAATAATAATAAAGATAAAAAAGTTGTAAATAATAGTTAATTTAGTCAATCTATTGAGGATCGGTAGATTATTTTGTGCAAACATATCAAAAGGAAATAAATTAGCATGTATCCGTATTGTGAAAAGATGCGGAGATCCATTTTACGTATCAATATAAAAATATAAAAATATAAAAGCAACCTTTAAAAAAAGTTCATTCATTGTATTGTTATTCATTTTACTCCCTATTATTAATTGATTTGTTTGCTTTTTTTATATAGTAATTTAACTTTATTTTATTAAAATTTTCCGCAAGTTAATCCGATCAGGTGAGATGTAAGAATTTTTTTTTTTAAAAATTTTCGTGTCAATTTGATCTATAATTCTTAAAATTCTAGAATGGAAATATCGAAAGGCTAATACACAAAACCAAATCAAAAAAAAAAAAAAATGAATGAATGAATGAAGCAGAGCTAGTGTTAATGCCTCTCCTTAAACCTATATACATACTAATTAGACAATATGGCGTTTTCTCAATTAAGCATCCGGGATTAACAATTATGCTTATACGTATGTTTAATCTCTTATACGTACGTACTTTAACAAAAAAACATAGGACTCAATTAATGGAAAAGAATTTACTTACGTACGTACTTTATAATTGTATTTGATCTAGTTTAAAGTTTTCAATTTAAACTGTTTAAACTGGTTTGACGCGTTAATGCTGGTTCGAATTTCTAATCTTTTCTTGCAGCATCATTTTTATACATTAAGTGAGGATTTATTGTTCTTTTGTCAATGAGAATATACTATGGAAAATTCAGATGAATAAAAAGATGTGTCACGAATAGAAGTGTGAAAATGTGTGGAGTTTCGAATTACGATAAATTCTAAGTGTTGTAAGCTGATAATACGGTCGTTTATAAGGTGAGATCGAAGTAATCGAGGTAAGGATTTAATAATATTCTATCTTCAAAATAAAAATTAAAAATCCATCAATTTTTTTTTAATTACGAAAATTATTATTATTTTTTTTTTCTTAATAAAGAGAAAATGTTTGATCGTGGTACAAAGACAGATTGGTACGATCGATTTTAATTATCGTTATTGCTTTTCACATGTTACATGGGAATGGATGAACGTTGGATTAATCTTTCTTGGATCAAGGTTGCGGCTGCATGCCGGTTATTCGTTACAAATATGCAAAAAAAAAAAGTTCAATAATTTCAAAAAAAGTCTAATTTCATTCATAAGTTTCCATTAATGATACCCAAAAATTGGTACTCGTTTTATAAAACAACAATTTTGGGGCATATTTTCACATGATAGAAATTTGAAATATTTAACTCCGGAGAACTTTTAAAATTTTATTCCTTTACTTTTTTTTTCTTAATTTTTTTGTGAATATTTTCTCAAAGATGATAATAAACGTTGTTTTAATGTTATCGTATATTTGCTTGACCTAAATTAAAGCTTAGTTTTATTAGATTTTCTTTCATCCTTGTAATTGTAAACTTTGAATTATAAAAATTCTATGTTCCCGCAACGAAGAAGCGGTCGTTGGACTGACCAAGTAATTAAAGTTACTCAATTCTTCACACAATAATAATATAAGATTAATTGTTTCACACAATAACAATATAAGATTAATTGCTCAATATCAATTTATAGGAAAAGCAGCTTCTTGAAACATTGGTTCAGACCTATGGTTACAACTGGAGGCTAATCGCAATACTTATGCAGCAAACGCGCGATCAGCGTCAGATTCGGGAACAGTAAGTGATGTTTTTTGTAAATTATTAATTATGTAAATGCGTTTAGCAAATAAATCATTTATTTATACACTTTAAAAAACCTACATTTTTAATTCTGTATTTTTTTTTTTTTAGTTACCTTAATCACCAGAATCCCGCAAGTATATATTAATTTCAAATTTTCATGTTTTTCTCTTTTTAACGGATACTTAATTAATCAATAAATCTTTTATTTTAGTAAACAGACGCAGAATTACATCATCCGAATCCAAAAGAATTCAGGAATTGTTTAGGCAATATGGTCGTCAGTGGAAACTTATCGCTTCATTTTTCCCTGGCTTCAGTCCTATTATGGTGCGTAATCACTGGAACAATCTTCAACGCAAACGGAGTATGTTTTTTCTTCCCTGACTCGTCACGTGACACATGTTCCTTAATTTATACTGTAATAACGATAATACTAAAATAATTTTTTTAGTGAATCAACTTCGGTACTTATAATTAATTTGTGCATATAAGGGACAATCCAAAATATTTCGTCGATTTTGGAAATTGTGCTTATAATTTCTCGAATAATTCCGTTTCAACTTAAAAAAGTATATTTTGAATTAAAATGTCAACTTTTATTATTAGGTCACAAAATCAACAACCGGACTTTGCTCCATTTGGAAGTTATCAACAATTGGACCATCATCAATTTGGGGATAACCAGCAACAACCAGCTCTTTCTCCTCCTTCAGATAGCAGTCGTGAGAAGATGTCAATACCGTTTCTGCTGAACTAAACGTTGATTCTTCACACACATCATTAACAAGGTCAAAGGATCTTCTGTTTTATATTTTTCCTACGTATAAGCAATAAAAATATATTGGTGATTTTATGATTGGTATTACATTTCACTTAATGTCAGCAAATATATATATAGTACATTTTTTCCCTTAAACTTTTTATATTAATACATATATTTTTATAATAAAAAGTTAAATCTCTATACGTATACTGCATTCTAGCTTATTGTCGTCTGTGTTTTTATATTGAAATATAATTTGTAAACTAGTAGTTCCTTAGAACTCATATACAATCACAGTATTAATAGACAAGATGCCACCTTGACCATAGGGTCAAAATTAAAAAAAAAAAAAAAAAAATTGAATAGATATTTATAATAAATTAGTGAGGGCAGAATTCCAACTCTGAATTTCCATGATTTACTACAATAACATTTGTTAATAATTTTTTAGTATAATTTTTATCTTTATGCCCTATCTCGCTATTAGTTAATGTCGCGAATCATAATGATTAAAATAAAATTTGGGGCTTTATTTATTCTCCTAAAACCACTTATACTTGTTTACTATAAATTCTACCCCTAAAGCTGACCCCTAACCCTAAAAAACGGCTAAGAAAATACACCTCAAAACTTTGTGACTTGTCTATTTTGTGTTATCGTTATGCAAAATTTCATTTTAATCTGATTTCATTAGTCAATGGTTTGAAATTAGTTTCGATCCAAACCAATTTTGTCACCAGTTCAGCAGCACACTAGTTTGGTTTGAGTTTAAATCGGAGTGCTCTTGAGATGATACAACCCTAGCTTATACAATTTTTGAACTAAATTAAATATATATTACTAATCATAAGGAAATAGTTACGTAACGTAATTTTGAACCCTTATAAATATAATAATATGCTCATAAAAGAAAAACTTCCGATTGAAATATATATAATGTATATGTCGTACGTCGTAATGGAATTATAGTAGATTTAGAATCTACTTATATTGAATCAGAATTCCAAATTTAGTCGAAGTTGTTATGAAATTTAAAAGCAATTTAAGCTGATTCTAAATTCAATATTATTAATAGATGTATACGTAATCAATCAATTAATTGATAAATTACATAT